TTTCTGCTTGATCTGGTGTTGGTTGGAATAATCAAAGGTTGGGTGGTGGGAACCTGGGTAATCTAAACCCCCACCACCCCAGTCTTAAGCTAATTAGGTGCAGCAGCTTTTGTCACCCGTCGTGTTTTCTGAATCCTGTTTGGTCCTCCAAGTGGAAAATTTGCCGAACTAAGTGTGTTTGGTAATGAGATCAAGGCACTTTTTTTTTTTACATTTTGCTGAGTTTAGTGTTTCAGTTTAGTGTTGCCCCAGGGTTTAGTAAACACACACACTTATGCCACTGCAGTGAAGCTGAATAATGTTGATTAGTAAATCACAGAATAACGGGGTGAGGGGGGTGGATGCTCTTTTGTTATGACATTTTTTACTGAACAGAAGTGATGTTAATGTGTCAACAGACGCTAATGATGATGATGACTGACTGGGAATCAGTGGCTGCCAGAGTGAAGAGTGTGGGAACAAGAAAGAGCAAAAACCAGGGTTAACGTCAGTTTGGCTTTTTGATGTGGAGAGGGTTAAAAGGACTTTAAATGTGGTGTTCTTTCTTCTGGATGTGCTGGCCTACCAATCCAATGAGACAGTGAAGAAACAGATTTATGTGTTTTAAGCTTATTAGATTCCAAAACACAGCACAGTGGTTTGTGATGCTGTACAAATCAGGCTGAACTCCCATTAGCCATGCCATGATATGCTGTGCCATTCTGCAGCAGGATAAAAAAATCATGTCTTGCATTTTTAACGAACTGTCTTTGTTCAGCTATTTTATACCCTAACAGAAGAATGCAATTGTACAGAATGAGTATTTGGAGGTAATTATTGGTCATTGGGTTGCATATGTTGCTAATTATAAGGGACAATTTATTCGAAAACTACTTCCCGTAAACCTACTGGGACAAAGTTTCACACAATGTTTTAATGACATGGCCACATTCTGGGCAGTGCAGTTCACTGAATCTCAACAAGCTGCAGTATCCCCTGCAGCCGTCTGAGGCCAGAACATGTGATATTTTTTAATGCGAATTTAAACTGAAATGAAAGTGATGAGTTTAGTCCTTCAGAGTGTCTACCTGCAGTCACCGCTCAGGGACAACTTTCCCCTCAGGTCCACCTCATGCGGAGCAGAGATCTGACCTTAATCTGAATTTTGGGCCTCCTGCTAGGCTGCGAATTAAATCAGCCTTGTCCCCCAGTGTGTGTGTGTGTCTGTGTGTGTATTCAGAAGGCAACACCATATGGCCGGACTCATCATTAGGGAGGCTGCCAAAGGCAAAAACCACTGGAGCTACTCCCTTTACACACACTTACACACACTCACATTTGTACACATACACACAACCAAGTGTCACGACAGATCGTGCTCAGAGGCTGTAACGGACCAGTGCATTTAAGTGTTTGCTCAAACACATATACATACTCTCCGATGGCATAATGAAGGTCCTCCATGTCTCCACACATGGTGCTTGTCTCCTTGGTACCGATAGACAGAGAGCATGCCAGTCCCAGACAGACCTGGCTCTGGGCTCTGAACTGCATCTGTGTGTGTCTGTTTATTACATCCTTGTGTGGGCTTACTGTGCCCAGGTGTACATGGGTTTGAATTTTATACCATAACAGTGAGGACATTGTTCACACCTTCAAAGGGCTGTTTGGGGATTATTACCATGTCTACACTAAAAGTGTTTCAGCCACGAAATGGAAAGAGGAAGAAGCGAGATGGAGATGGAGGAGACAAGGACCATCGAAGAGTTTAGGAGACAAGATGAAGAGGGAGAGGGGATGAAAAAAAGGAGAAGAAGCCAGATAAGATAATGACAAGGCAGGACAAGTGAAGTGGTTAAGAATTGGAAGCAATAAAAGATGTGGAAGGGATGGTCAAAGATATGAGAAAAAAGGAAGTTTGAGGCCAAAAAAAGAAGAGGGGTTGAGGAGGAGTACTGGAAGTGAGGAGTACAGAGAGAAGTCAGAGTAGAGATAGGAGAAGGAGACGAAGGAATGGAGGAAAGAGCAAATGGTGAGGACAGTATGAGAAGTGCTGTGTAGTTTTCAACTCTCCCAGTATGAGGAGGAGGAGGAGGTGTGGAGGAGAGCAAGGCGTCTAACAAGCCCCACTGTGAGAGAGACTATTCCATATCTGCTGCTGTCCATGCTCTCTGTGTCTGTGTGTGTGTTTCCACTGCCAATCACTTGTTTTTCTGCATGGAAATCTGCTCCAGTATAATTCCAAACAGCTTCTTTTCACAGTAAAAGCATCACTGTCAGTTCAACGATGGCACGTGTCATGGCTCAGCAGCTCTGCTCATTCTCTCATACGAATGCATACGTTTTTTTACTGTAACCTTTATTTAACCCGGCTGGCAACCCCCTTTTCAAGTGTTACAGGTTACACCAGAACAATACAACATCAAACACACAAACATGGACAGATTATGAGATAACAGGCCCCTGGACATGGACGTGTAAGAGGCCCCCACCCCTCCTACAATGGAGCGCCCAGCTGAAACTTTACAGCAATGGCCATTTTGTCCTCTATTTGTGATGGTGTTGTTTGTTGGTCTTTGTAGTATTTTTGCGTCTGTGGATGTTTTGCATTTGTGTAGTTGATGTGAGGCTCTTTGTAGTAGTTTTCTATCTTGGTGGTCATTTTGCATCTGTTTGGTCAGTCTGCACCTTTTTGTAGTAAATTTGTGTCTTTGCAGTATTTTTGTGGCTCTGTTGTATTATGCATCTCTTTATGGTTATTCTGCTTTTATTTGTGGTATCTTAGTAGGTCTTTGTAGTATTTTTGTGTTTTTGTAGTTGCTTTGAGTCTTTGTTGTCATTTTGTGTTTATATGGAACAGGTGTGTGTCTCTGTGCGGTTGTTTTGTGTCTTTTCAAGTCATTTGATTGACTTTCTGACAAAAAATGTAACAGTCGCTTCAAACAGAGGCTCAGGCCCAGTCAACGTCCGCTTGACCTGTCAGATACAGTATTTTAATCCAGCACAATATCAACAAGTCGACCCAAACAACACAAACTGACCTGTCCTTCTTTTCTGTCATCCAGGTGCCAATGCCAAGCTGCGCTACCAGATCACTTCAGGAAACACCATGGGCACCTTCGACGTGGAGCCCGAGGTGGGCACCATCTTCGTGGCTCAGCCACTGGACTACGAGATGGAGCAGCGCTATGAGCTCCGCCTGGTTGCCTCTGATGGGAAGTGGGAGAACGAGACGCTGGTGGTGGTTCAGGTGATCAATCGCAACGATGAGGCGCCTGTCTTCAGCCACACCGAGTACCGTGCCACTGTGACCGAGGAGCTCAGCCAGCTGCCAGTTCTCATCCTGGAGGTCAGTTATTGAGTTTGCTGGGATTTTATGTCATAGTAAAGGCTTCTTAAGGGATTCTTAGGACTTTAGTTTATGTTAGTTTATATCCTACTGACATTTGCTGGTTACTGGAGCACATATGAAGCTGCAGAGGGACGATTACCAACCGGGCAAAGTGTTGACTTTCCACAGTTAAGCTGTAAGAAAACATGTTTACTTACTAACTGGTTCATGGTGTTTTGCTATTTTATTATGGTGCGTTCATCTTAAGAATCTCTTCCAGATATTCTCTATATTCGCCCATTTTCATTTTACGTCATAAAATTTTATCAATACATGTGATTGATTCAGAACACTGGTCATCCATGATCACCCAAATCAAGTCATACTATGTTAAACTTGTGTGCACGGTGGTGCAGTGGTTAGTACTGTCAGCTCACAGCAAGGAGGATTATGGAGATGGCATGTTCTGCCGGTGCCTGTGTGTGTTTCCTCCCATAGTCCAGACATGCAGGTCAGGTTGACTAGTGACTCCAAACTGTCTGTAGGTGTGAGTGGTTTTCTGTCTCTGGGTGTCAGCCCTGTGACAGCCTGTCAGCCTGTTCAGGTGTACCCAACCTCTCACCCACTGTCCCCTGGGACTAGCTCCAGACCCCCCGCCTCACTTTCTACCAGATAAACAACACAGATAATGGATGGGTGGATGTTGAACTTGTTTGTGGTACAAGCCCTGCTAAAAAGTGCCTCTCACCAGATGTGTGCTGGGAGAGGGCCCCTCTGTGAGCCTGCACAGCATCACAAGATACAGAAAATGGCCGAATGGATGGGCTGAGAGCACTGAGGTTTTTGATTGTTGACCTAAACTCTAACCACAAGAACCTATCAGAGGTCCATCTGAAACTGTTTTAAAATAGAAATGCGAGGAAGTCACACCTTCAGCAGAAAGGAACTTGCTGAGAAAATGTCAACGCTTATATGAACAATATGCGAAAATGTATCGGGTTTAACGTGAACGAATTTAATAGTATTGGTTACGCTTCAAACATTTAGATGAAGCAGCTGAAGCAACACCTCAACAGAGATCCAGTGTCGACACTAACAGATCACACATGTGACATTGTTTAACACAATATCTGCTGATAGAAGCACCAAGCTTTAACATACCCAAGCCCTTCTGACAGGAAGAGCCCCTCATCTGAAAAGTTGCTTCAGAAAAGTCAGCAGACCTCCTCCTTCTGTGGCTTTCATCCGCCTTTCGTCACACCTATCTCCGGTAATTCACACTAATATGCATGTGCTGCCAGGCTAAATCAGATTGAAAAGGTGGAAGAGCATCAGAAACAGCAGGGAAGTAATCCCCATCAGACAGGCATGTGTCACCGAGTCCTCCACCCGGGCCTACTTCCCCTCGCCTGCTGGAATTGATTTGATGAGCTCTTGGTTCCTCTCTAACACTCCCGATAGTTTTTCCGGTGCATGGCGGCCCCTCCCTGAACACATGCCTCTCTCAGCCCTGTGTGTTAATGCAGTTCAGCAGATAGTGAACGAAGTAGAAAATCCAATTTGAAATGAATATTTTCTGACTTCACCTGTGTAGCAGCCTCCTCTGTGGTGCTGTGACTGCTCATCTTCAGTATTGTCTACCTGCATCATGTTGTCAGGAAATGCACAGAGCTCACGGGGGGAGGCAGCGGGGGGGGGGGGTACTTCAAAGGCTTCTATAAACAAGGCCTCTGGTGAGAAACGAGGAGAAGAAAAGGTAATGGTGTACTTTTTCTTGCTTTTGCTGGCATCCATTAACTTTTAATTGCATTGTGTGACACGGTGACAGATGTGAGAGCTGGCGCAGTCGCTGCTGCTCTGGTCCCGGCGTTCACAGAGATAGCAGGAAGGCAGGTTAATTAAGCAAACAATACAAAGCGACAGAGAAATGTTTATTCCTGTGTTGCAGAGCGCCTGTGTGCGGGGGCAGCTGCTGCAGTCAGCTGCTGTTTGCTGGGCTTGACATTTGTACTTAATGAAAAAGCAATTCAACTGTTTTGCTAAGATACACCTCAGCGAAAAACAGACTGAAAAGGCGATCGACCACCAGGCCTGATCCCACTGCCTCCCTCCTCCTCAGCAGCTCTGTTGGTTTTTTCAACACATCTTTGTATTCCGGTCATAGTTAATCATAAAAATGGGGATAATGGTGCACACTGAGACAATCTCAAGTCACAGCTTCTCAGTCTGTTTCAGACGTCCACACACTGGATAATCACTGCATAAAGTTGTTTGGGAAATTCCAAATGCTGTTAGTAGATCTGAACCAGTCACAGAGCAGCAATCTAATTGCAGAGTGAGCAAGACAAGAAACCACTGATTATGTTGACTGAAATGAAAATCCTCCCTTTCTCTTAGTTTCATTTACTTTACACCAACCTGAAGGTTGTGTGTCTAATACCCCTTTTCCTCTGCTGTATTTTGGCTTTCTTCTGACAGCCATCCAGAACCTGCATCAGAGTTATTAAAGAACATCAACATTTTAAAAACATAACACAACTGGAAGTTTATTCCAGCTCCTTGAAGCAAAATTGCTCAACATTGTGTTTCTTTTCTTGCAGACAGACATATCTGATTTTGTTGTCAAACCTTTGTAGGTGTCAGCCACAGATCCGGACCAGGAAGCCGATCAGACCGCCCTCCGCTACTCTCTCCATGGCCAGGGTGCCGGGGGTGAATTCACTATTGATGAACACACTGGGAGGATCTATGCCCAGCGCCGTCTGGACCGTGAGGAGCGCCCAGCCTGGAGATTCCTCGTCCTGGCCACAGATGAGGGAGGCGCAGGTCTCACAGGATTTGCTGATGTGCTCTTAGAGGTCAGAGATGTCAATGACAACGCGCCTTTCTTCCCATGCCCGGCATTGGAAGTAGACGGATGCTTTGTTGGCCAAGTGCCTGAAAATTCACCTGCTGACACCTCTGTCATGGAGATGCGTGCCATGGACCTAGACGACCCCAACAAGGGCGCAAATGCCATGCTGACTTACAGCATAATCAAAAACATCCGCAACGAGATCAACCTCAACCTGTTCTCTATCAATGCCACCACGGGGACCATCTACACAGTTCTACGTTCCCTGGACCGAGAGGCAGAGGACCATTACCTGGTAGTGGTTGAGGCCAGGGATGGAGGGGGACTGGCAGGGACAGGGACAGCCACTATAATGGTTTCAGACGTCAATGACCACCCACCCCTCTTCACTCAGAGACTCTACACTACTCAGGTGAGTTTACCAAGGTAACTTTATTTGTATAGCACCTTTTAACAGCAAGGCAATTTAAAGTGCTTTATATAAAATGGCACTAAGAAAAACACAAGGCCATCTAAAAAGACATCAGACATAATATTAATAACGTGCTTTTGTTGTGTTCAGGTGACAGAAGACTTGGAGGTAAACAGTGAGGTTCTTGTAGTTTCTGCCACAGATGGAGATGAGGGGGAAAACGCTGTGGTAACCTTCAGCATCGTCAGGGGTGATGAGGACAGGAAGTTCTTTGTGGAGACGGACAAAGTGAACCGACGTGGGGTGATAAAACTTAAGAAGAAGGTTGACTTTGAAAAACCCCATGAGAGAAGTTTCAATCTGACTCTGAAGGCTGAGGACGCTGACTTCTTCAGTCTGGCTTACTGTGTCATTCAGGTGGAAGACTCCAATGATAACGCCCCTGTCTTCCTCCCACAGTTCTATGAGTCACCTGCCATGTCTGAAGACGTATCTGTCGGGACTATTGTTGCTCAGGTTACAGCTTCTGATCTAGACTCAGGCCAAAACGGACGTTTTTCTTACAGTATTTCCAAAGAGTCTGACCCTTACAGCCAGTTCCTGGTGGACCAGTCTGGTTGGGTGGTAGTGGCCAATTCTCTGGACAGGGAGAAAATCTCGCAGCACAGGATCATGGTCCTCGCCACAGATGCTGGGACTCCACCCCTGACTGGCACTGCCATTGTCATGGTGACTGTACTCGATGTTAACGACAATGGGCCAGAGTTCGAGGTCTGCTATAAGCCTGTTGTTTGGGAGAACACGGCAGCACCACAGGCAGTTCAAATAAACGAAACCTCCCTCCTACTCCACGCCACCGATCGCGACACCTCCACCAATGGGGGTCCATTCTCCATACGTCTCCTCATGCTCACCTCAGACGCCACCAACTTTAATCTGACTGACTTTCGCAATGGTAGCGCAGCCATCACAGCCCTACGGACCTTTGATCATGAGCAGCAGAAAGAATACCGGCTCCCAATTCTAATGATTGACAGTGGCTCACCTCCAATGAGTTCCACAAATACACTGACGGTTGTCATCGGTGACAGGAATGACCACCCCCACTTGCCAGGACACACAAAGTTCGTTGTGTACAGTTATGAGGGTATGTTGAGTTTATGGCCTAATTCACAGGAAGGGGAAATGTTCTGCCTGGTTTGGCAGATGCATTTGCTTCATGTTGTTCAGCATATGTAAATGTTTTGTGGAGGGTCATAGGGTTTCTCCACCTTATTTGACCCCATCTATACACTTAAGTCTCACAGTCTTTATGGTTAAAGTTGATTGTACTGTACCTGCACCTAGTGCACTGATTTAGTCTTATGACCAGGACTATTATACTTGGAACGATTTACTTTTTAAGGAGTCGTTTCACCCAGTCCACCTGCAAATTTGTCTGCAATTTGCAAGCGACAATCAAAGATGAAACATGATGTTGTAACATTTGTGATGTGAGCAGCACATGCAAATCATTTTTGACTCAGCCTCAGCCTCTGCTCTGATTTAGTAAGGGATCAGCATGAACCACTACAAAGTACAAGTCTTTGCACACTGAAGCCTGAAACCTTTTGTTTTTAATTCTGTTCACAACAGCACAGTTTAACAGCACTTTTATATTGTAGCTTTTTTTTTATTGGTGTAGCTTTTTACTTAACCTTCATTCATTCAGGAACAGGCTTTGTGAGTGCACTTGCGGTTTGTCCATTTCACACCTGAAAGCCTCACAGTACAACCTACTACTTTCTACTCCAGAGGTTGGGCTGCCTTGCTCAAGGGTGCCCCATTTGTCATTCATCATCCCAGTTCAGATTTTACCTGGTCTGAGGGATTCAAACTTTCTGATTGCAGATGGGCTCCTCTGACCTTCAGGTCCCCCAGTGTCCCCCCACCACCTTCTGAGTGCCCGGTGTTAAGACTGTACTTGTCAGTCGACTGCTCGCAGCCTCTTGCTCCAGCCCACATCACTTATTTAGCATTTCATACCATCTGTCAGCCTGCTGTAATTTGCTGGAAAAACGAAGGCTTGCTGTAATGTATTTTTAGTGGTTTCCCTCTCTGGGGCCTTTCCACATGAAAGTACATTAACCCGCTAATAGGAATCCATCACGTACCTCAGCAATATGCCATGGAGCAAACAATTAACTCCAGCTTAAGGTTTGATGGGCACCTAAACAGGAGCCATTTTAAAAGGCAGCTGATTTCATGACTAAAGAGATTATAGCACTGTGTTCAGCTGTGTTTGGAAGAGGGGTAAAAACAGTGTGAACACTCTTCCTGTCGTGCTGTCAAACCATGACTGCACATGCCAACAAGGCATTGCACACCACCTTATCTCTGTAAAAAGGCCTCCACTCTTAATATTTTGGCTGTACAGCAGGGATCCCGTGTACTCAGAACTAATTCCTTTCAGAGTGAATGCATTTTTTGACTCTTACTTTCTGTCTCTGACAGGCATTCTCCCAGCGACAGTGCTCGGACAAGTTCAGTCCCCCGACCTTGATGACTGGAGTGAGAAGGTGTACCGGTTCGAAGGCAAACCATTCAGGTACTTTGATAAAGTGAAAAGTATTAGAGGGCTGAACGGAAGCAGAGGTGAAAAAGTAAACTTTTAGTAGTGTAAATGTTACAGTAAGGAGAGGTGGAGGGGTCTGAATGACAGCAAGGCCACGACATAGTAACACACCTCCTAAAGTGTCTTCCAGCAAGAGATGCCCATGGAAGAAGAGAGAAAATAAAAGATCTGAGCAGGAACTGACAGATTTAAAATGGAGAGAAAGAGACGGTGAGCTGCAATGAAGAGGAGAGAGGAAAACTGGGACAGAGAAACAGGCAGAGAAACAAAGGAGGAGTGAAAGTGAATGAAAGGGCCAAGGACGGGGAGGAGAGAGAGAGAGAAAAGGGGATCTGACTTGTTAGGAACAGTGTTATTAATACTTCATAACCAGCGGTGTTAAAAATTCCCAGTGAAGCACGGTGAGGGCAAGCTCGTTTTGTTTGATGAGGTGAGGCTTCGTGCGAACGCGTTGAAAGGGGAGCCTGATTGCATTCGCTGCCACCTCCTCTTCTAACAAGATGCCTATAAGGGGAGGCGACAAGAAAGTGTGGAGAACAAAGAAACTGCCAGAGAGGATTACCACAGACAGCAGGCTTCATCACAGCAGCTTGTGCACAGTATGGATCAGGTGTAGGCTGCACGTTTGGTACCTATAGAAATAAAAAATAAAAAAAAAATAAGAAGCAGCACAAGGAGTTCAGATGAGGTGGAGAAGCCCCAGTGAGCCAAAAACAACATGTCACCTCACAGGAAGGACAACATGTCAGCACAGGAAGCAAACAGCAGACTGATCTTCACATTGTATCTGCTCAATTCTTTAAAATCTTTGAGACATAAGGTAAAAGCATTTCATGGCCTATGCACCTAATGGGGAGGTGCATGCATTTTCTTATAGTGTGAATCTATAAAGCGTGACTGTGAGATGAATCCAGCAGTGCAGGTTTGATCCCAAACACATTTTGGCCTCGATTTAGTCACTGTTAATTAATCCATCTGGCCTGAACTATGATGGTCCCCTCGATGAGGGAGGTTAATCATTTACATGATGGCATAGACCCAGGACATTGATCATGATGCCTGGGATTGACTCGCCAAAGGCTCACTGATGAGGACCCCCCAGAGTGATTATTGTTCCACCATAGACATCCATCTGGTCACAGTCTGATCTGAGAAGATTTTACCCAGAAGACCACATAGAAAAACACATGATGATCAGCATCAGGCCAAACTTGGGGCATTTAAGCAGGAGGCTACTGGGTGTTGACATTTTCTCCTGCTTCATCCATGTGTTAAGGGGAAGTTCCATGTAACTTCAAGTTAATCAATTTTGCCTACTGTGCTTTCCTGATGCAGAGATGTTCCCAAGTTTGGCCAATCACAAAAAATATATACACTAAACTGCATTCTCTCCCTTCCTCTCAGGTTGTTCAGTCTGAACCAGAGTTCAGGTCAGCTCACTATCAGGGAGGGGACTCCTCCCGGCTCATACCACCTGCAGGTACGCGTGTCGGACCACACCTGGCCCGACGTCACCTCCACTGCTCAGGTGGACGTCATGGAGCTGCGGCAAGACGCCCTGCAGAATGCCGCCTCCATCCGCCTGTCCAGTGAGTCCCACATGGATATCATGATGATGATGATGGTATCAAAATGTCACTGTTTTTAATAAATGAAACAGTTCACTACAAGAAGCTTTAAAATTACTGTATTATGTCACCACATACTTGGTAGGTTTTCATCCACCGGTTTTTATGCACATTTTTAGTTTATACGTCAAAAAACTTGACTGGAAATGAGGGAAAGAAAAAAAACTAATCACAAAAAAGCAAGCTGCTGTATTGGTAAAAGCAAAATGCAACAAAGTGCAATGGAATCAGACTTAGCAAATCAATTATCATGTACATGAATCATGTGACCTAAATGTCACTGATGAGATGGAAAATAGCAGCAGACTGGAATACATCTGCGTGGAGCAATGCTGTAATGTTCCTCGGGTTAACGCATGAAACTAACAATAATGCCATATCGTGTTTTCTTGACTTCATTTTACCTCCTTGTTGCACCCCCTTCACTGGCACTGGTTTAAGGTCACTTGACCGGAAAATCACCACTGGCTGTTTATCCTGGTGAACCAACTTCTACTTCTCACAACAGTAGTGGAGGGAAATGTGCATTCATTCACATTTTCTTTTGCCAATTTGCAAAATTCAGTTACAACTTATGCTACATTAGGTGGAGCTCCACCAACACAAGATGCATGCTGTTTATGCACGCCCCGCCGGTTGCCAAGGTAACATGGTAATTGACAAGGCGGGATGTTGCACATCCCAGAGTGCCGCGGGGTCCCGGTCTCAGTGCAGTCAGCTCCCCCAGGCTCCATCTTCATCAGCAGTCCACAAGTGTGGCATGATGGGAAATGACTCCCAGTTCTTCTTCTCCTGTCTTGTCTTCTTCTTCTTCCCAGAATTTAAGTTTGGGCTTTTCTTTATTTTTCTTCCTTCATTTTCCTCTTTTCTGTTTTTACCTTTCCCGTGTAGTAACGTGTCTGTCTGTCCAGTATTTTTTATGCGGCTGCCGTTTTCCACTGATGGTTAATAAAGTTAGTAAATAAATCAGTTACCCTTCTCTTCTTCCAGACCTGACAGTGGAGCAGTTTTTCAGCAGTAGTGGTGGTGAGGAGAGTCGCTTCTCCTGTCTGGGTCGAATCTTGGCTGAACTCCTACAGACATTGCCTGAAGATGTCCAGATCTTCTCTGTGTGTGATGCTGGCCGACAGCGGGAGAAGGAGCTTGGCGTTTGGTTCGCTGCTCACGGCTCGCTGTACTACAAGGCAGAGAAACTTCATGGCTATGTGGCAGCAAACAAAGCCAAGGTGAGTTTCAACATGGAGTGCATGATTCCTTTAACGAATTCAGGGTTTGAGCTGTCTGCAGTATTTCTCCTTAACTGAACATGTCTGAACATCATGTCACTTTCTGACTCTTTTCCATTTTACCACATTAACCAGCTGTCTGGACAAAAACAGGCGTTTGGCAGGTTTGACTCTTTATTTTGACCTTAAAAACAATTGGAATTCAAGGAAAAAAACACTGTTCAAAGCCACAGAACTTTTTAAAAATTCTAGCGGAGATCTCAAAGCTTTAAAAGGCATATGTCCAAAGATATAATGATCACAGTGAAAACAGGACAGGACGCAGTGGCATTGCAAAAATCAACAAGTTGCTATTGATTTGATTTGATTTGATTTTGATTTGATTTATTCTTTCAAACATGTAACAACAGTCAATATGTCAACACACATAATTCCACACATATCCACAAATATATTTTCAATTTGCTCATACCTAGTACATGCTTGAACGGAGTAGGAAGAAGTTAGACTTATCTAGTCCTACCCCCTAACATCATCTTATCGTCATTGGTTTGCAAGCAGTATTACTACATAGATAATTTTGTTCTGCACCACACTAGTGATATACTAAAAACACCACACTCACAATGTTTCACCT